ATTCTATTTTCTATTCTATTTTCTATTCTATTCTATTCCATTCTATTCCATTCCATTCCATTTTCTGTTCTATTTTCTATTCTATTTTCTATTCTATTCCATTCCATTCTATTTTCTATTCTATTTTCTATTCTATTTTCTGTTCTATTTTCTGTTCTATTTTCTGTTCTATTTTCTATTCCATTCCATTCCAAGTTCCTCCTGCTCTCAAAACCCTCGAAGAAAGGCTGGGTGAGATCTTCTGCACAGGGTCTGACACGACCTTCGCACCCACCTTAAATCTATCCTGCCTTTCGCAAAGGCCTCCGCTGGGCATCGGGGCTCGGCACTTGTGCTTCACGGGTTCAAAGGTGCCAGCGTAGGTGATATAGCGGCTTTTGAGCATCCCTGAAAGCTCCTTGTTTTCTACTTCTTCTTCCACCTCACTGGGAGCCCAGAAGCGATGCTGAGAGGAAAACCTAGAGAGAAGAAAATTCAGTGATAAATCACCGATATAAATTCCTCTACATGCTCCTGATATTCGGCCCTTTTATATATCTAATTTTTAGTTTACTTTCTTGCAACTGCACCTCGTACAACGAAATCAAACACCATCTTCAGTGCACATCATGACCATGAAAATAAACACAAACACACATCCTTCACCCTCCACACATTGAACCGAAAACCCCCGACACCACACCAACATTGCACTATACAGTAGAATTCAAATGAGCTACTGCTCTGGGATAGAAGCTGTTTTTCAGCCTGTTTGTCCTTGTTTTTATTATTATCCTGTACCATCTGCCAGGTGGTAATAGTTAAAAAAAAGGGTGCCCAGGATGAGACCTAATAATAAAAGCTTGGATTTAGTGCGCCCAAATACAACTATTTTAACCTCAGCTGGTCCTCAACATATGACCTCAAATGAGGCCAACATTTCTGTTGCTAAGCAAGACAGGTATTAAGCGAATTTATGACCTCTCTTGCCCCCATTGTTAAGTGAATCTGGCTTCCCGTTTGCTTGTTTGTTTGTTTTTTATAATTTTTATTTTATTTTATAACTTATAAAAATTCCATCTTTTAGTTAAATAGTGTGTTCTGTGGGTACAAATATTTCTAGGAAATAATAATCAAAGTGTTTACAACAATGTTCATTATATTAGTATTAGTTCAATAATAATAATAATAATAATAATAATAATAATAATAATAATAATAA